TCCATTACCATGTTCAAAACAGTTTTTCTGTAATCAGATTCTATAATAAGAGTATGATCTACCATGACACATAAGGAAATATTTGACACAGATATTGCAAAACCATATAAATAAAGTATTTCTTTATGAGATAAGTCAGGGGTATTTAATTAAAGTTCCAAGAGGCGCGGCCTCTATATTTTCTTCCAAGCAAATGCCTGGAGAAAAATAAAAATAAAAATACTGTTTCTGTTCAGGGTTTTCCTCCTGAAATCTATACTATTTTAATATTTTACTTAAAAGCAGCATCTAGCCTACTAAAAACAATATAGCTACAATGATCAAAACTTTCTCATCTTGAGCAGAAAAGAAAGATAACAGTTTCACAGTTTACATTCCATCCTAGCCATCTAACAACAATTTTCCCAATTATAATTAGGCCTACATATTTTTTTCAATGTTCTTAGCCTACAGATTAATAATGTTAAATGTCAGAAACGTCTTGTCATACCTGTTTTGAACAGTCAGAGTCATAGGTTATAGATAGATAAATACACATTTTTGATGCATGTTGATTCTAGGGATCAAACAACTTAAAATCAAGGCAAGAATCTTGGTGTGATTTTAGTAGTAACTAAAGTTACTAAAGTAGTAACTAAATCAGCATACTACTATCTCAAAAACATTGCAAGAATTAGATGTTTTGTTTCCAGTCAAGGCTTGGAGAAACTTGTTCATGCCTTTATCACCAGCAGGGTGGACTATTGTAATGGTCTCCTCACCGGCCTTCACAAGAAGACCATTAGACAGCTGCAGCTCATCCAGAACGCTGCTGCCAGAATTCTGACTAGAACCAGAAAATCTGAGCATATTACACCAGTCCTCAGCCCCTTACACTGCTTTCCAGTTATATTTAGGATTGAACTTAAAGTACTTTTACTCATTTTACTCAATGGCCTAGGACCTAAATACATAGCAGATATGTTCACTGAATATAAACCTAACAGACCACTCAGATCATTAGGATCGAGTCAGTTAGAAATACCAAGGGTTCATACAAAACAAGGGGAGTCCGCTTTTAGCTATTATGCCGCCCACAGTTGGAACCATCTTCCAAAAGAGATCAGATGTGCTAAAACATTAGCCACATTTAAATCCTTGTTTTTATTGTTGTGATTATTTTTTATGATTCTTTTCCTTTAGAAATACCAAGGGTTCATACAAAACAAGGGGAGTCCGCTTTTAGCTATTATGCCGCCCACAGTTGGAACCATCTTCCAAAAGAGATCAGATGTGCTAAAACATTAGCCACATTTAAATCCTTGTTTTTATTGTTGTGATTATTTTTTATGATTCTTTTCCTTTTTTTATGTAAAGCACTTGGAATTACCATTGTGTATGAAATGTGCTATATAAATAAGCTTGCCTTGCCTTGCCTTACTGGTTTATACTCATCTTTTTTTTCACGGGCCAGATATTATATTTTATAAAATGTTAAGTAAGAAATAATTGACGACAGCCCGTTGAATTCTTAGAAAATAATGCACACCCGAGGTGGTGATGTGGCCACGGCCCAAAGTGGAGAATTCAACAGACCGAAGACAATTATCTTGCTTATGGTTACCACACCTCAAGACATAGATCAGATGATATATTTCAAGGCATTTGTCCAGTTTTTCTACTTAAAACGCTATTGTGAGTAGGAATAATTTCTTCCGCATCTCATCCAACGCCTCCGTTGCTAATTCCAAAACATAATTTTAGACCTAGTAACAGAGGTCTGAGCCGTTGATAGCAGACTAATGCAGTTATTAACTAAGTTATTAGAGAGAGAGAGAGAGAGATTACCTCTGTGAGTCTGTGTGTCTCTCAAGTGTTCGGCTGCAATGTCTCTAAGTGAAACTTTAAAGTTCATTCTCTTCACGAACAATGTCGTTGTTACCTCGCTTGTGAGAAGTCATGTAGTTTTTAAGTTGTTAAACTGTTACTGATAAAATCGTCAGAGTAGGGCTAACAACATTAGTGCGTATGTTAACATGTGTGCAAACTGTTTGTATGTGCGTCTGTGAGGGAAAGAGAGCCGGTGATATAGAGTATGTGCTTCTGTACATAATAAACTGTAATTTGTTGGCAAAAAACATGGAAATTATCTGTAATTTTTATCCTATTGCTTACTATACTTTTTGTTTGGCCAGTGTCATTGTGGGTTTTGGTTCTTTTGCTGTTTTAGGCTGTAAGGAACTACGTTCGCCGTGCGTTTCCTTGAAAATAATTGCACACCTTGGAACGTTCGTCAGCCAATCAGATTCAAGCATTCAATGGCCCCGTAGTATAAATATGGATAATTATCTTACAAAAACCAATGGCTTCATTTCAGAAGGCCTTTATTAATAGCCTGGAGCTGTTTGGAATTACTTGGAATAAACTTTTTTTGGGTTGAAAATCTCAAGTCCCATTCACTACCAAATGTTGTCTCTGGTATTCTGGTCTGTTGAGCGTATATGCGTTCAGGGGACGTGGCTTTGGACGGTGATTGCAGGGAGGGTGGGACATTCGCTTTCAGTGCTATCAGGCTAAAGTTAGCATTTCCAAGATCTCCTACTGCACCTTTAACATAAGGCAGCAACATAACAAAATGTGAAAAAAATGAATATAATGCGAATGAATACTTTCGCAAGGCACTGAATGTTGAGCAATATATATACAGTGGGTACGGAAAGTATTCAGACCCCCTTAAATTTTTCACTCTTTGTTATATTGCAGCCATTTGCTAAAATCATTTAAGTTAATTTTTTTTCCTCATTCATGGGACAGGACGACTGGTTGGAATTGAGGGAAAGATGAATGCGGCCAAGTACAGGGATATCCTGGACGAAAACCTTCTCGAGTGCTCAGGACCTCAGACTGGGCCGAAGGTTTATCTTCCAACAAGACAATGACCCTAAGCACACAGCTAAAATAACGAAGGAGTGGCTTCGCAACAACTCTGTGACTGTTCTTGAATGGCCCAGCCAGAGCCCTGACTTAAACCCAATTGAGCATCTCTGGAGAGACCTAAAAATGGCTGTCCACCAACGTTTACCATCCAACCTGACAGAACTGGAGAGGATCTGCATGGAGGAATGGCAGAGGATCCCCAAATTCAGGTGTGAAAAACTTGTTGCATCTTTCGCAAAAAGACTCATGGCTGTATTAGATCAAAAGGGTGCTTCTACTAAATACTGAGCAAAGGGTCTGAATACTTAGGACCATGTGATATTTCTGTTTTTCTTTTTTAATAAATCTGCAAAAATGTCAACAATTCTGTGTTTTTCTGTCAATATGGGGTGCTGTGTGTACATTAATGAGGAAAAAAAATTAACTTAAATGATTTTAGCAAATGGCTGCAATATAACAAAGAGTGAAAAATTTAAGGGGGTCTGAATACTTTCCGTACCCACTGTACATACATACATACATACATACATACAGTGGTGGCCAAAATGATTAGAACACTTGTATTTTCACCAGCTAAAAAATGGTTTTAAGTCAGTTATTTTTTTATCTTTTGCTGTAATGTGTCAGTAGGAAATATCAGTTTACATTTCCAAACATTCATTTTGCCATTAATTGTAATAATCCAGTGAGATTTTTGTCTGACAGCAGGCAGTGCTGCACACAGAGATCTGATCTGATCACCATCAGTCTGTCTGGAGTGACATGAAGAAACAGAACAAACTGAGACAGACTAAGAACTGTGGCAACATCTCCAAGATGCTTCAAGAAACCTACCTGCAAAGCTATAGTACTGTTAAAAGTTATTGAAGCATCTTGGAGACGTTGCCACAGTTCTTCTGGATTTAGTCTGTCTCAGTTTGTTCTATCTCTTTGTGTCATTCCAGACAGACTGGATGATGATCAGATCAGATATCTGTGTGGAGCACAAAAATCTCACTGGATTATTACAATTAATTGCAAAAGTAATGTTTGGAAATGTAAACTAATATTTCCTATTGACACACTACAGCAAAAGATAATAACTGGAGAAATAACTTACTATATATATACACATCTCACAATAACTCAGATTGTGTTTGACTGAAAGAAGATAGTCATATACACCTAGGAAGACTTGATGGTGAGTGTCACGAATCCGGTCCATGAACTTCCGTCGGCTAATCCGTTGATAGCTTCATTACAGAGCCCTCCCTAGCCTAGCCTAGCCTAGCCTAGCCTAGCCTTGCCTTGCCTTGCCTTCACTCCCTCACTATTTAACACTTACTCTGATCCCTTCCCTCTGCCGTGTATTGTTTAGCCCCTATCCGTTGATAGCTTCATTACAGAGCCCTCCCTAGCCTAGCCTAGCCTAGCCTAGCCTTGCCTTGCCTTGCCTTGCCTTGCCTGTTTTCTCGGTTTCTGGTCTTCGCCTGTTTTCCTGGATTTACCCCTTTAGTCTTGCCCCTTTTTGATTCTGTCTGCCGATCGTCGACCTGCGCTAGCCCTAGGACTATTCTTGTGTTTTGTCCGCCATATACCTGTTTGACCCTGCCTGTTATGACCACGTCTCTGTCTTCTGCTTAATAAAGCTTTGCAAATGGATCCGCAAGTCTCACGTCTTGTCAGCCCCGTTACAGAGAGTAAATCATGATATAATGTTCATTTTTGGGTGAACTAACCCTGTACCTCTAAATGGGGCTCAATTTGGTTTAAAATGGATGGCATCGTTAATATGAGCAGAGAGTTTGCAGTTATATTAAGGGGAGTGATATTTCCGAAACGCGCTCGAAGCACCCATGACAACACACTAGGCCAACTAACCAATCACAGCAGATTTTGTATTTTAGATGGAGGGCCTTCATTAAAACAGGAGCTAAATGGGGCATTCGGGCCAGACTGGGAAGAGAGGAGCTGCAATAATGAAAATATGTGAAAAAGAATGATTTTTGAACATTCAAGCATTAAAACTTATATTGATTTATAAAATGATTATTTGCTGTAAAATACTAAACATTTCTATGGTAGTATGTTATTAATATTTTCACCTCTTCACCATGTCATCAACTGCTGTAATGATGTCATTGATCCATGTTTTGGCCATCTCCAGGTACCTTAATGCCAGAACAGGTTTGTTCATCTCAATAGCTTTCTTCAGTATTGGGAAGAGGCAGGTGACTAGATTGGAACCCATGCCGACGCACTATGAGAAAACATCATTCATCAGACAAAGTTAGAAAGTCATGACAATTCACAGTGACTGTGTCAAGTCAAGTCACCTTTATGTATATAGCGCTTTTAACAATACAGATTGTGTCAAAGCAACTGAACAGCATTAATTAGGAAAATAGTGTGTCAATAATGCAAAATGACAAAACTAATTTTTCAGTTAAAGGCAGTTCATCATTGAATTCAGTGATGTCAACATCCAACTCAGTTCAGTTTAAATAGTATCTTTGCAATAATTTGCAATCAAACAAAGACTGTGTAACAGTAGAAGAGTTAAAACACTCATAAAAGTTTCATAACAGTAGTTCCGTGTTACTTATGAACACTATTCTAAGACTTCTGAAGTCATATGATGCTGACATGGCTAGTTGTTAAGTTCCTTATTTTGACGTTTTTGAGGATGTATACAAAAATGAGCTAAATGCTGTGCATTATACTCCACATATAGCACGATCTGAACCCTAAACATGTTTTGTCAAAAAAGCCGATTTTGTCCAATTTCAAGGCATCGCGAGTTCACGTTTTACTGCAGAAGCCGAAAAGCACCCTTGTTGTTTTTGAACAGAAGCCGATAAGTCCATTTTAGCTAATCAGCGTGCTGTATTCAGGTCAGGTGACAAGGCTACTTTCACTTTGAAAAGACGTGCTAGCTGAGAGGAGTTTCGTCAAAGCTGACTAAAAGTGATCAAGGATGGAAAATTTCGACGAACTTGATGAACCTGTGATATCTTCTTCAGTGCGAAAAAGGAAAATAAATGCAGAAATGTTTTCACGGAACCTTGCAAAAGCTGGACTTTACTTGAGTACCGAACCACAGAGCTCATTCAGACATTCACATCACTGTAATCAGTTGCGTTTTTAACTGCTGCTTTCACACCGTGGTCAGTTTTTGTTGTGTTTTTTCGTTATTGAGAGGAAAGCGCGCAGCATCTATTTACATATTCACCCAAACGCCGCTCAGCAGTTTCAGGTTCGGCAGAGTTTGCTCTGAACCATAGACTGTAAAAAAAGATGGACAACGCATCTATCTTCTATTCCTTCCACTATAGAAAAGTGAAGCTAAAGCATCTCAGTATGGCTGCTGCCATCTTGAGTAAATGACGTCATTTGGAGCCAGAGTCTGCGCAGTAGAGATTCGTTTGGAGCCAGAGTCTGCGCAGTAGAGATTCGGAGCCAGAGTCTGCAGAGTAGAGATTCGTTTGGAGTCAGAGTCTGCACAGTAGAGATTCGGAGCCAGAATCTGCACAGTAGAGATTCGATTGGAGTCAGAGTCTGCACAGTAGAGATTCGGAGCCAGAATCTGCACAGTAGAGATTCGTTTGGAGTCAGAGTCTGCACAGTAGAGATTCAGAGCCAGAGACTGCACAGTAGAGATTCGTTTGGAGTAAGAGTCTGTGTAGCGTCTGGACCAATCAAACACACAATATATATTTTGTTAGCTAGATTTAACAAATACTCTGTAACACCCCTCAGTTAACAAGCCATATGAGGACCTATGGACCCTTCCCCTCGAAATGCGTAACACCCCAGGAAGCCGAACAGGCCCCTGGTTCCATGGCAACCAACCATATCACTGGGTTTATTACCCAGTGGAATGTGAGCAGAGAGACTCTCACTGCATTTTTCATAGCAAGAGGCTAAATGCACAGTAGAAATTGATTTTTCTACTACTTAATTCATAGGAAAACCTTTCTTTGAACTGTTCTTTGAACAGTGTATCCTTCAGGTCATTGTGTATATTATTGTCATCGTGTATTTTGTCTTTGAGATTGTATACTGTTTTATGCAGGCTTATGATCGGAACACTCACTCCTGTCAGCTTACATATATATATAACCCTACCATGTTTAGTATCTATGAATTAGTATTCGGATGATCTAATTGACTGAGCCAGAGACTGTATAACACTGTATATATGTTATACAGTCAATCATGCAGATTTATGCTACAAGCTTTTGTAGAATTGTACAGTAAGAAAGTTATTTCCTTTAACCAGGAAATTAACGTTCTTAGAATTGACAAGACAGTTGACCCTGAGAGGTCAGCTAAATATCTACAGCGGATCTAAAATATTCATAATTAATTATAACTAGTTATGATTAATTATTCATATTTCCCATGAGCTGATTTGTTACAGTCTGCACAGTAGAGATTCAGAGCCAGAGTCTGCACAGTAGAGATTCAGAGCCAGAGTCTGCACAGGATTAGTTTGGAGCCAGAGTCTGCACAGTAGAGATTCGGAGCCAGCGTCTGCACAGTAGTGTCGTGAGGAGGAGCTGCGGTATCAAACTCGCGCCCAAACTCCCGCAGACCCAATCAACCATAACGACACGCCCTGTTTTTATAGCATCAAATTACTAGCTAAAGTCAAAATTATCACAAAAACGAACAATTTAACATATATCAGCGTGATAACAACTACCTTAAATGACCAAAACCATATTTCGGAAAATTGTATTGGAAGCGTAATTTATTATGTTCTTATTTTGACTAAAGTCCCATTCGTTTACATGGAGAGGGCGGGGTTTATGACCTGTACTGCAGCCAGCCACCAGGGGGAGATCAAAGAGCCTGCAGCTTCACTTTTCAGGATGTGTAAGACACACTCGCTCTGAACTGAAGCGCTGTCTTCTTCTCTTGAATTGCATCGGGCTGAATTACAGTCTTGCGCTACAGCGCCACACTGGTCAAACCACATTATTGCAGGCTCTTACATTAGGTCATATGAGATCAAACGACTACTCGACAACAAACATTTTTCACAAAATTTGTCGACAATTTTTTATTGTCGATAATGTCGAATAATCATTTCAGCCCTAGTTGGATTTGAGCCACATTTGTCTGCAGTCTGAAATAATTTCAGAAATTTATGATGATGAGCATATTTGTGCTGAACACAAGTGAGCACCTGTAATTAGCCACTGCATTGGCTACAATACTGTATGCTGCAAAAATGTATTGTTAATATAAATAATTGATACTCAACATGAATCAGGATCAGACTGTGGCTCAAATCCATGGCTGTATCTATCATTATTCATAATCCCTTCCAAAATGTTTCCATTCATATAATACTTTTCCATAGTCAAGTCAAGTATTTATTAATATAGCGCTTTTAACAATACAGATTGTGTCAACATACATATTTTCCATATAGTCTTACAGGGGAAATCACCCTTTTTGAATGAACTTTTAAATCTAGGGCTAACTGGACAACTCTGATTGTTGACATTGATGGTTATGATGAATTAGGCCTCACCTTCAGCAGAACGGCCTCAGAAGATCCAAACAGCAGCTGCGTTTCAATAGCTTGTTCTCTGATCAGACGCTCCAACTTTGGGAAGCCTCCCAGACACAGGTAAGACAGGTGATAGAGGAGAGCCGTTCGCTCTGCAGATGGGAGAAGCTCCTGGATGAAGTCTGGGCTCCATGGTGAATAATTAATTCCAAGCTCTGAGGTATTTCAAAAAAGATTGATGGTTAATAACCTTTAGAATTCAATAGCTAATTGGTGAAATGGGTCTACAATACTGTACAACTAAAATGCTACTCAGTTTTTGTTTTAACTTGTTTTAATAAAAGCATTTGTATGTACAGTATGTATGGCAGTATGGTTAGTTATGTGCCAGCCTGCTAAATGGATTTATTCATTTATTTATTTATTTACATGTCCCTCTGTATGTGGTTCTTATTGGCTGATCATTGCATTTAGCAGCAGATTGACTTTTTTCCTGCTGATTAAGGGTTTGACATATTGTATATTTACACTCTGCCAATGATAAACTGTAATCAACTATCAGTATAGTTACTGAGTTCAGCTAAACTCAAATCAAATTTTGTATCCACCCCCAGTCTATGCAAAAGTGTCGCTCTTAAGCGCAATGGTAAAAATAAAAACATTCAAAAACATAACTGAAACTCTTATAAATATCCAATGTTTTAACTCATGAATTAATTAACAAAAATAAACTATGCTTTTATTCTTTCTGTTTTAAACTGATGTGTGTCATTTGTTCTGAGAATGTGGTGCTGGTAAACTTGAAAATATTATTATAACTTTTAAATGTTCTTCTTCATTTTTTATATAGACCAGTATGATAGTTGTTTGTAGTCTCTAATGATCTTGAGAGTTCATTATCATTATATATTTTTTTATATTTCAAGGTGGCCCCTATCTCCGTTGTTGATGTTTTTTTCTTTCTCTGCTCACTTTTTATATTCACTTGTCTGTATAATGAGTGTGTTGTAGGTCTGTGTTTTATTGGTTGTTTTCTCCCCTCTTCCCACCCTCTACACTCCTACTTTTCCACAGCTTTAAGGCCTTTACACACTGAGCACGATGCAAAAAAGTGAGGCGAATCGCCAATGAACGGTGCTTTCACACCGAGCGTGAAACGATTGTCCAACAATGCATTTTCCTTAGATATGTATCTCGTAAATGGATTTAACATCTAAATGAAGATAAACAAAGTTTGGTTCTACACCAGAAACACAAACTATCTATAATGCTTACAAGAATAGGCTACATCCTAAAATATAATTAGAAGTACAATTAGCATCAATCTACACTTGAAAATGTATGTAATTATTAATGTATTTGCCTACCCACTTTAAACTATCATCGAGTGCTTGTAATAACTTCCGATTGTTATTTATAGTTGATTTTGATTCTATAATAAGCAGACACATGCACTATTTGTATGTTTAATAAGGCTAAACTGCTAATATTTGTCATAAACATCCTTTATATAAAAAATACCATGAGCTGCATACAAAACACATTATACAGAAAATATATCGTCATAATATATTAAGGTTATTAATATATTGGTATTTGTTTACACTGGTTTTCGAAACAGCGCCACCACTCTCACCCTTTTGTGCAACAGCAGCTGCTTCGATCACGTGATCCTAGCTCAAATCTTATTGGAGGGCCCGTGTTTTTGCTTTGCGAAACTGAAAAGATTCGTCTGACTTGTGCAAAAAAAAAACATTTGCATTTTCGGTGTGCGAATATTCGTGTCTATGTGGAAGCATCCAGGAATCTGATGTTTTATTCCAGCGTGTCATCGCGTCTGATATCCCACCAAACACAGAACGTTCCCCTAACGTTAGTTTTTGGTTCCCGTTTGGGTCTTTATTTGGGAACCAAACACTAATGTTAGAGGAACGTTCTTTTTAGGTTATATTTTTGTTAACATAAAATAACGTTCCCAGAACGTTGCAGGGTGGTTGTTTTTAAAATAACCTAAAAATATCTTATACAGAATGTTCCCTAATGGTTATTTTTAGGTTATTTTTGCAACCATAAAATAACGTTGCCAGAACTTTGCAGTTATAAATAAAAATATATATAATGTAAAAATAAAATATTAAGATTAGAATTTGAGAGGCTTGAAACATTTGGAATTAAGAATAAAGATCACTGTATTATATTCAAAATTATTTATATTTAATTTTATTACTTTGAATATAAGAAACTACAGACAAATGGATGGAACATTTTTATGTAATTCAAATACATAAAATATAAATTTAGACTAAAATGATTTTTGAGTGCATGTGCCTTACAAGGGACATGGTAACCTATTAAGAATTGCTATATGGTAACTTTAATTGCACCTTTAAATAGTTGCAAGAAAAGTATTTCAATAGGTACTTCTCCAAGTCTCTTCCTGTGACGTAAAGTATAGGTGCACAGCATATCAAATGTTTAGTTTCAGAAGGTTCTGGACTTCTCTTCTTGCTTTTTGCCAGCCTGGTCATTGTTTATACTTAGGTATTAGTATGTAACGTTTAGAAGCACTAAACATATATTCATGTACATTTTTACTGATGCTGAAATGTACAATTTGGACGTATTTTAATGTTTAAAACATAAATTAATATGACATTTTTCTGAAGTAAACCTGTCATAAAGCTTCTTGAAGCGCCAATTTTTTAATTTGTAAAGCAGGGCTCCAGACTCATTATTCCCACTAGTCGCTCTTTTGCAACTAACTTTCTCAGTTGGTCACAGGAGCACATGATTTGGTCGCAATGTTTTTTTTGTTCGCGCTACAACATAGGATTAATCGATGCATGCTGATGAACTTTTAACATCATTTATAGTTATATGGAAGCAAAAGTGGTTAACATTCAACCAGATTGCGGCAAATTACAGAAATTTTAGCAAACACTGAGGAAGCAAAAAAACCTGGCTTACGAAGCTTTTGGGAAATGCAGCCCAGTTCATTTTCATCAGTAGTATTATACATGATTTGATTTTGTGAACCGGAGATACTCTTTTGCTGATTTATAAGTCAGGCTTCAGACGTCTCTTTTGCTTAGATACATCTACACACCTATCACTTTTTAAGACTAAAACAAAATATGGATTCATTGTTATTCTTAATTAAAAAGGACAACAACAATAAAACAGTAGGTTACATTGACAAACTAGCTTACAAAACGTTTATTAACCAAACCGAATAAGATGTGGCATGTGTCACAAATCCGGTCTATGAACTTCTGTTCACTCACCACCAGAGGTCACCCGCTCACTACATGGACTCTCACACTACACAGACTGTTACACTATACCCTGGACTACATTTCCCATCAACAATTGCACTGATTGCACAAAGCTGTAACCAATCACACACACTATATAACACCCACCCAGATCCTGCTCAGGTTGCCGAATATTGTTTAGCATTTATCACTCTTCTGGCAGTAGCTACTTTACAGAGCCAGTTCCCAGTCTAGTTCATAGTTTAGTTTAGTTTAGTTTAGTTTAGTTTAGTCTAGTCTAGCCTTGCCTTGCCTGTTTTCCTGTGTGAAGATCTTTGCCTATGTATTACGGATTACCCCTTTCGCCAAGCCCTCTGGATTCTGTTCGCCTATCGAAGACCCACGCTTGTCCTAGGATTACTCTTTGTCTTGCCTGTGTTGTACCTGTTTGCCATTGTGTGACCCATGCCCGTTTCTGACCACTCTTCTAATTAAAGCCTTGCATATGGATCCGCACGTCTCGTGTCTCATTCGCCCCGTTGCAGAATTGCAAACACCACATGCTGTATTATATACCTACTAACAGAGCCGTCGCTAGTGGGGTGAAAGGTCGTGACGATTATAGGGGCCTACGGCTGAGGGGGGGCCCCCGGCGATCTCAACCGACTGGCTGAGGCCAGCCTAAAAAGACGCTCAGGACAGTTGACAGCCACTGCTGCGCATCGTCACGAAAGCTTATCATTTTCACATGTTTTTAAGCCTTACCAATTTAAACATTCAAAGAGTTTAATGCATTCAAACACAAGACGCGGAAAAACTCAATTGAGTAGGCTACTCGCGTGCAGTGTTCGGTGCGCACGCAGAGAGCCATGTCTCACAGCCAGCAACACCGAACCGAGCTCTCCTTCGTGTCCTCCTGCACCTGAACGAACAAATACAAATCGCAGTTTAAACAAACAGAAAAAGATGTGAAAGAAGAGCCCATTCAGCACCCGCGGTGTTCTGTGCGCACAGAGCGCATGAAGAGAGACGCGTCTCAAATCGTTTTGCTCCTGCTGAGGCGGCGAGTATAACCATGCTCTACTCTCTAAGTGCTGCGCAGCTCAAACGAGTAGCACAGTTTTGTTATTCTTTCAATTTCGTTTGCCGTTTGATGTTTCTCATATGCAACAGAAATGGCAGAGCTTATGAGTTGAACAACCAGTTGCGCCAGTGCGACCACACACAAAATGTAGTCACACAGGCAGAAAAAATGGTCGCAAAATGCGACCATTTGCTCACAGTCTGGAGCCCTGTAAGGAGTGCGTCAGTGCAGGTATTGCTGCTTACGGTCGCTGCTCAGGATGGAGATGAAGATCCCTGAATAAATGCTTGGATTTGGTTCTATTCCTCGCAGTCGTATGGATTCTGAAGATCTGGATTACAGCGCACGAATAAAATTGATCCTTTTGTAATGTTGCGTTTTGGTGTATTTTATAGTAGGCTATTTTATGGTTCTATTGTCAGTCATAGCATGTCGGAGAAAACAACGCCTTTTGTGTCCCATGGCAAACAAAGTAGGCTAAATATTACATGATAAGTAATGGTTAAACGATTGCAGAAATGTTATTCATTTTAAGAGTTTGAAGTGTAGTCTTGTTTAACATTATGTATTTTTAGAAATGAGCAGCATAAATCACACAGAACGAAATGTTATCATTTTGTAATAATAAGTAAACTTCATTTAATAATGCAATTGAAAATATAATGATATTGATAAGACAACAGAATATAATGAAAGGTTAATGCGGTGATTTCAATAATAAGGATTTATTTGTAAATAATAATTTGGTGGGTGATGGGTGTGTTTAGGTGGTTTGGGTGCACAGTAGGCCTAATGCAATTCTCCTTACGGCGATTAAAAGGGCAGGGGCTCGAACCCCCCTCCCCCTCCGACAACCCCCAAACACCCGCCCCGTTCACGACACT